TTGCAGTTTGTTTCTTCTACAATTTTAGTCGCCCTCCACCACCCCGTGCACCTCCATTGTAATTATGGCGCAGGTGGATGTGGGCGTTTCTGGGGCCCACACCTTTGTGGGAGATTAATTTGTGCTTAATTTTCACTGATTTATTGTTTTGAAAGTTTTCCTTGCCAGTTGACCTTTGACCTCCTTGGAGGTTTTTCTGTTGTAATCTTTCAGTTTGAGGAAACTGGCGAGGGATTTTTTTAAGGTTTACAAGCCTCTCATTTTTCAATAAATGTCAAGAATACTTGGCCTTTCATTCCATCTCATTTGTGTTATTGTCGTCTATCTCCCACAAACAGAGCAAAATGACCAGAAGTGGTTCAGTTTAAGTGCAGGGATATAAAAGGTAATTCCCCACATTAACCATGCAAGTTGAAAATAAGCAACTGCAGATCACCAAATTCACATTCAATAGAGAAGCTTTTCCAACCCACATTAGGGTGTGACTATTTTTAAGTAATCACACTCCAAGCAGGATTTAGAATTCAGAACCAATGAATCATGTGTCTGTTACAATGTATGCAGACTTTTAAAGCCAACATTCCAGCATATATAGCACAGCTTATTGAAACCATTGGAAATACAAGTTTGGTGTGATACACATTTATTTTGCACCATTGGTTACCAGCGTATGATATGAAGCGCTAGAAACTAAGCCACCATCTCACTTACCTTGCAGTGTGCTCGAAACTCTTGTTCTTGTTTTTTCAAATTCTCATTCATCGCAACCAGTGATCGTAAACTTTGCAAGACTCTAGAGAGTGTATTAATTTCCGTAATAAGCAAATGTACATCAGTGGGAAATGAACATCAAGCCCAGGAATTGCATTAGATTTGTTGTGTGTAGCAAATCCCAATGAGAAAATGAACTGCAACTCGCAATATATTCTGTGCACTCAGTTATGGGTTCATTTCTAATATTGGGAGTCTGGGAAGCAGAATATGGAGTTACACAATCTCTGATCAAGTTTCTGTCAATAAGAATAACTCTTACTATTATTATCATGGTCAACATACATAATCATATTTGAAACACAAAAAAGTAAAAAAAAACATTGACACAAGTTTATACTAGAGCAGTATTTGGACAGTATTTCCAGGTCACAAATTCAAAGTTGTGATTTATTCACGTTATAAAAAATAACCTCCTCCAGCATCAATATATTCATAAATGCAATATCCCTCACCCCTACCCCCTCCCATAAAATTGGTCAGATTAGTGGATAATTTGCCATATATATGAAAAAGGTGGTGGTTGTCAATCAAAACAACGTATATTATATATATGGAACACATATGATTACGTAATGCTACGTGATACATACACAGAGTTAGCTACAATTAATATTGTTGTATTTCCTACTTACCCAGTCTTCTCTTCAGTTTCAATGGCTTCCATCTCAGCCATCTCAGAATCAAGTCTATCACAGGTTTCTTGTATCTGTAGAAAAACAAATTATTAAAAGAAATATTAAATATGCCGATTTAAAGTGTGTATTATATTTTTATGGCATTATATTAATAAAAAGAATTTCAATATCCGAAACTACATCTACTAAATAACACATACCAAACACATAATTATATAGGTTCTTATAATTATACATGCATATGGTAAATATTTGAAAAATATGCAAAACATTTCAAAAAAAGCATTGTTATTGAATGTCGTAGATAGCTATTATGACAAGGAAATAAAACACACAGTACTTAATAACACAAAAACTCACCTCTTTTAATCTGGTCTGAGTTTCTTGGAAACTTACTTGCAGCTTTTCATGGCTATTCTTTACCTAAGTGTGTTAAAAACAAGAATATCAATCTACCAACAAAAAAAAAGGACTACCGGTACACATGAACTTACAGTATCGATAATACAAAATTATGTAATTTATTATCACATAGTTTGACATCACATATTGTAAAACATTTTGTCATTGTTGTTGAACGTTATCTGCACCTTCATATACAGTGAATACTATGAATGTTGGCAAATCTTCATGTTTCAGAATTATTCAGTCACTCCAAAAAAAATGTTTGATAATTTGAACAAGCCATGCATGGCACAGTCCCAGTTAGTTATCAAATTTAAGATATATAGTTTTGTTTATAGTAATATAGCTGGAATATAACCATGTCAGGAATATGATTTTTTTAACATTAAAATGATTGACATTTGTATCTGATCGTCAAAAAAGTACTTGTCCATATTGAGAGATATTGCTCTGGAACAGCATTCAAAATCAGCCATTTTGATTACATGTATATATATAACATGATGTATAACGAATATATAAAATTTGAATATAATCAGTCAAAGCATTTAAGAGATATGGCTCGTAGAAGCCCAATCATTAAAACAAAATGGCAGCCAGTCAACCATTTTGAATCCAATCTGAAAAATAAAATGACGTGCATCAGGAACCTGTAATGTCTAATGTATGTACCAAGTTTGAACGACATCCATCCATAAATGCCAGAAATGCTTAATATTTGATGATTTTTTAGCACAAAAATGACCACCATTCGGCCATTTTGAATAGGATCGTCAAACTAATATATCTGTTTATCTATGACATGATGTATAATGAATATTTAAAATTTGAATATAATCAGTCAAAACAAGTCGAAGATATGGGTCTAGAAGCCCATTCATTAAAACAAATTGGCCGCCAGACAGCCATTTTGAATCCGATCTGAAAAATAAATGATGTGCATCAGGAATCTGTAATGTCTAATATATGTACCAAGTTTGAACGAAATCCATCCATAAATGCTTGATATTTGATGATTTTTTAGCACAAAAATGGCCACCAATATATGTCTATCTATGACATGATGTATAATGAATATTTAAAGTGGCACCTTCCAGTTAAGATTAAATTCACAAGAAATTTACTTTCTGGATTAAAATAACAATGGATAACAAAAGACAGGTTAACATTGTAAACAACATAAACAATAGTGTCCCATGATTCTTTGGTGCAATCCATGGGATTGAGCGGTTCCCCTTTAGAATTTGAACATAATCAGTGAAAGCAAGATATGGCACAAGAACCACATTCATTAAAAAAAAATGGCCGTCAGTCGGCTATTTTAAATCTTATCTGAAAAACAAAATTATTTGCATCAAGGTCCCATAATGTCTAATGTATATACCAAGTTTGAACAAAATCCATCTGTAAACAGCCGAGAAATGCTTGATTTTTAGGATTTTTAGCACAAAAATGGCCGCCATTCGGCCATCTTGAATCAGATCATAAAACAAAATTATTTGCATCAAGGTCCCATAATGTCTAATGTATATACCAAGTTTGAACAAAATCCATCTGTAAACACCCGAGAAATGCTTGATTTTGATGATTTTTAGCACAAAAATGGCCGCCATTTGGCCATCTTGAATCAGATTGTGAAACAAAATGTGCGCATCAATGTTCTATAATGTCTAATGTATATACCAAGTTTGAACAAAATCCATCTGTAAACAGCCGAGAAATGCTTGATTTTGATGATTTTTAGCACAAAAATGGTCGCCATTCGGCCATCTTGAATCAGATCAAGAAACAAATTGATGTGCATATGTATAATATCATGTATGATGTATGTGTCAAGTTTGATTGTGATTGGTTGAGGCATTTCTAAGATACAGGTCCGGATGCACGCACAGATGCACGCACGCACGGACACACGCATGAACACACGGACACACGCACGGACACACGGAGGTCAAAACATAAGTCCCCGTTTTCGGGGATGACGAACGGGGACTAAAAAAATCCAAAAAAAACAACTTAGCACTAATATCATAAGAAACACCATGGCATCATCACAATTAGCATTGCAGCATGAGAACAAAATTTGTTGCATGATTTCAATGCCAATAGTTAGTTTGATAATCACTCATGTTTACGAGAAAATATTGTGGGATCTATTACAATCTGATTAAAATCTGATGTAGTGTACGGGCTTTAATTATTTTGGCTATAAACTTATTTTAATTTTATGTTTTATTACTTTTGTTATTAATGCCTTTTTATTTTATTATTTTACTTTGATTTTGATTTTGTGATTTTTTTTTAAATTCCGCCCTACATACATCTGAGCCGATGCCTATGTAACGAGATTTCAACGAGACCCACTGTCGACTATTTTAGTCAACGAATCACAGACCTTCTTCTATAGCGCACATGATGACGTCACTGGGCAGAGTCAGGTGGCAAACACACTCAAATAAAATGGCGGATTATACCGACGTTAGCGACCGAGAAGAACACGGCTTTTCGGTAAGTTTATCATTGTCAAATGCAACGAAAGTCATTTTTTTATGTTTATATTGTGGCTCGAATGGTTCGACTTTAGATCATTATTTTGCGTAGTTATTCTGGGAGTGACGATTTTGTTTCCACCGTTTCGACCGAACACCGGTGTCTTTTTCCAGTCGCTTGCCCTGGAGACGGGTGATGTTTTGTTGACGATCGGGCCAACATCGTCTACGGTATTGAAGCCGTAGCTGTAAATATTCATCAAATTGTATCAACATTTTGTACATTATACAATAACTCTTTATTAAAGTAATTGAGCTGATTTGGACTGGAATAAATATTT